ATTCAACAGATAAGAATAAATACATATACATCTATTGACATATACATGAAGACTTGACGTCTGCTTACATGTATATCATATACAAAACCATGTACAATTAGAATTCACTTTCGACCAAAAAATAAGACGTACATGTAAATAAAATCAAACTTTCGCGTACGACAAAAATAAATGTAGCAAATATAGATGTAGCGGAAAGTCATACAATTGCAGAAAACGTGTACGTACAACCAAGACATATGATGTCTTCTTTTGTCTGAACGAGAAGTTACACAAGGCTAAGATATTGTCCACACATTTATGACAGGCGGCAGTAAAATTCGTGTGCTTTCATCAGTGAAGCATTATGACCGGAGGGGCTCTTTGTCCATAAATTATAGTGTAAACATTGGTGATAAACAATCAGTTAGTGTGCTGTAAACGTCAATCTTCACCAGTTTAAAACTCACATCACTCCACGTTGTATAATAAAGCAATAATTACTCTTTGGTGTCATTTTGTAATTACGAAACTGACATGAAAGAAAACAAGAGAAAACTAAGCTCAAGGCATATTTAACATTCGTTTATGATACTTGTACGAGTCGAAGTGTTAAATGTAACACCTTGGTCTGTCACATAAATTATAAAATTGAATTTCCTTTTCTCTCCTCCTTATTGGTTATCATGTCATTCATTTTTTTTATCAAACGTCACAACAATGTTGATGTCACATTTGTGGAGGAAGCCAAGTAGGCGTAGATCTATAAATAGGAAATTATATGCAACCCAAACATATATAAATGATATAATATAAAGTAGTAGCTTAATACTTCCTTATTTTGAAAAGTGCTGTTGACAGTCATTTTAGACTCGCAAAAGTGACTTTTCAAGATGGCGTCCAAGATGGCCGACATTGAAAAATTGTGTTCTCAGGAGCAGCTGGATCACTAGGACAAAAAACTTTGATAACGCAGCATTGGAGAAATGTGTAACATAGTTTATTTATACTTCTTAGTAGATATTTGGCCCACCAGGCTGTAACCTTGACCTTTGACAATGACCTTTATATTGACCTTCTAAAATACCATTTCATCGGTTCTTTTGATCAAAACAATCTATTTAAGTACATAAAACTCTTTCAGTTAAAGCTTTGTGCCAAATCTTAATAAGTACAGTTGTTTAATTACCTGTGCCACGGATTTAATTACAAAGTCCGTGTTGGAGCAGTGTTTATAAAAACATGAATGACTTCAATTTTAAGCAAACATACATAGAAAATACATAATAATATAAGAATAAAAAACAATTTCACTTGTATCTTTGTATCATGAATATCATTACATATATATACTCTATGAACTATATATCAGCTTAAAAACCCTAGATTAGACGATGGAAATTTGAAAAACTTGAAAACTGTTCCTATCATACCAGGGTTGGGTAAAATAAATATATAGCATTTTTCAAATATTTTGCTGACATAAGCGATTCCATGGCCGTAGCCTAAGTAATTTGTATATAAAATACATTTTTAGTTTTCAATTTATATTACAAATACTTATTTCAAAGCCATATACAAAGATTGGTGAAAATACACTATTCAATTTTGAATAAAAGTGTCCATCCCAATCGAATCCAAGCGTAGATTTTCTCGGGTCTTTTCGCCGCTTAAAACCAATTGCCAATAACTTCTAGTAAAGCATCAGTGTCAAAAAGTAAATAACAAAATTTATTTATTATTTTTATCCAGTGCTGCAGATATGCACCTAGTGGTTCAATTATGCATTGTATTTTTACAATGCAATGCGTTATTCAAAGTTTTTGCACAAATTTGAAATGTATAAGCTTATAGGAATGCAGGTTACAATAAAACATCTTAAAATATTCTGTCAAAAGCAAGGAACTTTAATTACTGGATTCATATACTGGAGTTTGTAAAACTCTGAATAAACTGACCTTTAATTCTAATAGAAATGAGTTTCTTAATTGTAAACTTGACAAACCGAGAGAAACCTAAAGAAGTATGCACATAACTGGGGATAAAATTTCAAACAACTTGAGACCACAGAAAGGAACCGAACTGTTCCACCAAGTGCCAATGATTATCCTCAAGCTGTAATAAGTTTGTAAAGGGAAGTAACTGTTTTAAAAGATCTTAACTTCGCTTAAACAATTATCTGTCTGCTTTAGCTTACTGAAGCTATCCACAGTTTTCTTTTCCTTTTTAACTACAACAGCTGCGAATACATCACCCGAATTTAAAGTTCAATGTTCCAATACAGCAATGCAATAAATACATGACTAAACAAATTCGTTGAATTGATACCCCCTGCCGAATGATTCAAACTTCTTAATTAGTACCCCGTATTATGATCCAGAATTACCAGGAACTTTTGTTCATAAGTCTGACAAATTAAATGTTGTCTTCAATACATTTATACCTATATAAAGTTCAACGTTTTATCCATTAAAGAGTAAAATGTTCCGCTGAAGTCCGCCTTAAATAACCATGATAACGCCACAAATTCGCCGGAACCTAATGTAAAACCCGAAATTTTTCATACTTAAATTTCATGTAATTTGAATGCTGAATTAATGCGAAATGAAGTTTATCATTTGTAGATGGGACGTTTATTTATAACGTCGTCATCAGAACGTCTGGAGAAAACAGTGTTTCCATACACATTTGTCAACAGTTCGGGGTCTCCAATTTAAAATGCTAAAAGAAAAATCACACAAGTATCTTGTTATTCAAATTATTATCCATCGCTGTGGCGTTTGAAAACGATGTGCTACTGAGTGTGGCATTGCCATTCCCCCCCCCCCCCCCCCCCCCCAAATTTTTTACAAATTTTAACTGAAGAATTGCATATATCTTTAGTTGTTTTAGTTACATTTCTTTATTCATCCACAAATAATTATAACACTGAATAAAATTATTAGAATCCAATTGTAAGGAAACGTTTACTTTCAAAAACTTTGAATGATCTAGGTATAGTGAACATCTAATTTTATCACGAGTCTATTTGTCTTAATAAATCGTATAAAAATTAGAAATGATTTCTTCCTTCAACTTTAAGATGCAAATGATTTCCCTGATTTCTCTGACAATCAAAGGACAGTTCAAGAGTAATATGTTTGATTTGATAGCAGCAATTTAACAGACAGCGACATCCGCAATTTTCCAACAAAAGGAAAACCTCATACCATGGTACGAGAACAGAATTACTTATCTAGTGGTTTCATAGGCATCGAGCTTGTTTTGCAGGCATCGAGCAGGTAATATTTTTAAAACCTTTGAGCGTTTTTACGTCAACACTATTGACGTTTCACAACGAAGAAAGCATATTGCAGTAAAGAATACTCCGAGAAAACATAACAGTCTTGAACAACTTAAAATTCGAATTTCGTATTAGACCTTGACGGTCAAGGTCATTCAAAGATCAAAGTCACATTTCACACACAGGATTTCTTGTACAAGAATGAACCAAATAAAACAAGCAAATTCGTTGAATCTATATCCAATTAAGTACTGGTTATAACTAACACAACAACTGAAGACATAAGGCTTTGTTTATATATTTATCATTGCGTAAACAGCAATACTCTTTTTACATAATAAATATTCAGGGCAATAACAGAGTCATAACTCGATGTTAAATAGTAATATCTGGACATGGCAATGAGAACTGATGTAAATTGCCTTTTTGTATTGATGGTTCCCATAATGTTTTGTTGAAATCAATACAGCAGTTGCAAAGAAATAGAAATATTGCTCTAAATGCATACTACATAACTAATCAAGGACCATAACTCTGTAATGAAGGGTCTGGTCTGAACAAGGCAACAAATTATGCACAACTCATCTTGGTATTAATGGTTCCCATAAAGTTTAATTAAATTCCAGTCAGTAGTTGCAGAGAAGTAGTGCCGAAACGATTATTGCCTTATATACATACTGCATAACTAATCAAGGACCATAACTCTGAGTTAAAGTGTCTGACCTGAAGAAGCTAACGATAAGCGCATCTCCTAATCGAATTGAAGTTTCCCATAAAGTTTCGTTGAATTTCAGGCAATAGTTGCAGAGAATAAGCGCGGAAACGATTATTGCTCTATATGCATACTGCATAACTAATCAAGGGCCATAACTCCGAGTTAAAATGTCTGACCTAAACAAGTTGAGGATATGTGCATATCCTCTTGATATTGATGATTCCCATAAAATTTTGTTGAATTCCATCGAGTAGTTGCTGAGAAGAAGTAGCGTGGAAACGATTATTGCTCTATATGCATACTTCATAATTAATCAAGGGCCATAACTCTGAGTTTAAGTGTCTGACTGGAACAAGGTAATGATATGCGCATCTTCTGTTGGTATTGAATGTTCCCATAAAGTTTCGTTGAATTCCAGCCAGTAGTTGCAGAGAAGTAGCACGGAAACCATTATTGTTCAAGGGCTATAACTCTGAGGTAAAATGTCTGATCGGAACAAGCCCACGATATTCGCATTTCCTTTTAGTATTGAAGGTTCCCATAAAGTTAGTTGAATTCAAGCCAGTAGTTGCAGAGAAGTAGCACAGAAACGATTTTTGCTCTATATGCATACTGCACAACTAATCAAGGGCCATAACTTTGAGTTAAAAGTTCTGACTGGAACAAGCCGATAATATGCGCCTCTCCTGTTTAAATTGATTATTTCCATAAAGTTTCATTGAATTCCAGCCAGTAGTTGCAGAGAACTAGCGCAGAAATGAAATTCAGACGGACGGATGGACGGACAATGTCAAAGCAATATCCCCTCCCGATTTCATCGTCGGGGGATAATTATTATCCCTGACTCACATAAACATGACATTTACATGTGATATGGAAGAATGTAAGGTTATTATACACAGTTGAGTTCAATATAAAAATCTACTTGTTGAGTACACAGCTGTCAAACCTATATTAGACAAAGTGTTGTTCAAACATTGAAAGTTCATTGGTTATTTTTTATAAGGTGAGAAATAACAAACAATTATTTTATCATTTAATCTTTATTCTTTATAACTCCATTCTTCATTTTTAACATATCAAGCTTCAGGCAGGTTAAGATAACATATTCAAATCACAAATTCGAAACAACAAAATGGATTTCCCAAAGTATTTCACAGGCTGTAACAGGGTACTGGTAGAATTTTATACATTTCATACTATTCTACAAATCAATAGATCACCCTACATCCCAATTTAATGTATTGTACCATGATCTTAAAAAGTATAAAAACAAAGTACATGACAATTATGATCTTCTTAACAAAAAAAAACCATAACAAACAACAAAAGAAGCATGAAAAGTCTTTGCTGAATTACTTTCTATGAGGTTTCTTTACAACACTGGCCTAATACATGTATTATAACTCAATAAATAATCTGACAAACCATAGATAAAACTACCTAATATTATTGTTACTTATTTAGATATATGATCAGACAATTTATACACACTGAACTATATAAAAAACTTATATTGATTCCTTATTTTACATAAAGTAACAGTATTTTCAAAGTTTCAAAAAACTGTGGTGTGAAATAAAGTGGTTATTATACATTGTTTAGAACAATACTTATTCTATTGGACTCCTAAACAGCTGCAAAACAAAGAAAGGTTTTTGTCCATATTAACAATGGACAAGTCCATTTAAGATATTTGCCAGGGGGAAAGGGGTAACTAAATGTACCAGGGAGTAATTTACACCTGGTTTAGTTATGCTAAGATAATGTATTATTATATATTGTTTCTAAAAGAAATATTCTCAATCTGAATTGTGCCTAAATGGACATCAATATACAACAACTATTGATTGTATAAAAAGATTAAATGATAACCGTCATAATTATACAATGTTGTTGTTGGACTTCTTATGTTATACAACAATTAAAATATGTACAATGTACATAAACAATGTACATATATATCCCTTACAGCTTAATCAAAGTAATAACTATTAATGCTTTTCAATGTATACAAGTAACTTAAAAATAAAGCAATAAAATCTATATAAATAGTATGATGTAAACAAGAAATATTTATTGAATATATATTGTATTGAAGAATCCAATACCTTCTAACATCAGCACAATAGAGAAATAAAATATGGGACATTTAAATGATCAAAAGATGATGGAATGTTATAAACCAGACTTTTATCAAAATAATGGTAAAGTCTTTCTGGTACAAGTCTATTCTGTTATCCAAACTTAAGAATTTACATTTATGGTAAAAAATGACCCAAAATTCCATTGATGAACATGCCAATAAGTATACAAGTAATCTTCATATATATTATGTACAGACTATACATTACATATCATGAACAAATCAAAAATTCAGAATATAGAATTTATTTTAGTTTGTGTACCACACTCTTCAATCTGTTCCCGGAACCAACCAGTACTAAGCAATGAGTGTAAAGTTTCTTGCTCAAGGAAATAACAGTTTATTCCTGACAGGGTTTGAGCAATCATGGCCAGCAATCATTAGTCAAGCACATTAACTAATCGGCCATGCCACTATTTCAATATTACCACAGTGGTATTAGAGATTGAGTGGATGTTGTTGATAAGGACTTTTCTTTGCCTGATTTTATATTCATTACCATATACCGTACCATCAACAGCATGAAAAGCTTTACTGTAATTAATTATACAAACAACACTCATACCTTGAAACATAAATTATGCTATTGATATTTTAAAATTTATATAGGATATTCTAAAAGTGTAGTCTACATAAAGAAAAAAAAACCTAATACTTATATTATATGCAAAATAAATAATTGTTAAACACAGTCAGCAAGAATTCATCTATCTCCACTTGCAGATTTTCTACATACATGTACATGCTGTTGACCAGTACATGTTGTTAAAATCTTACAGTGTCACACATCATCAAATCATCACAGCCTGCCCCAGCACTGTCCTAAGAATACCAACAAGAGCTGTCCGTAAGACAGCGCGCTCGACTTTTTTATTGCTTGCCAATAAAAAAAGTTTTTGCAGTAAAAGGCAATACAAGAATCTCTGTATTTTTAAAGTGAACAATGGCCATGAGCATTAAGATATTTAGTGAAGAATTATTTTATTATGACATAATTTATGGTAAAGTGAACAAGTGGATAGGAATGAATTTTTTTAGATTTTTTAAGTTTTTTAGTGCTTGCCTATAATACAAAACATTGACAGTTAAGGGCCATAATTCAAATAAAATCTTTGACAGAATTACCTTCTCCTGGACATGTTTGGGAATCATGATTGTAAACAAGTATTCCAACTTTCAAATTAATATCTCAAACAGTTCAGTCAAAAAGTGGACTGGTACTAAAAACTTAACCAAGATTCTAAGTCGATAAAAGGCCTTAATTTTTAAAACAAATCCTTGACAGAGTTACCTTCTCTTGCGTACAGATGGGGGTAATGATGTGAAATAGCATTAAAAGTTTCAAAGCAATATCTCAAAGGGTTAAGGCAATAAGTGGATTTTACCCATATTCAATGTATTTTCTAAGTCAAAAAGGGGCATAATTCTGTCAAAAACCTTGACAGAGTTATGTCCTCTTGTCTGTTGATGAAGGTCGTGATGGTAAACAAGTATGGTCAGTTTCAAAGCAATACCTCCAATGGTTTTGAAATAAAGTGAGGTGGTACAAAAAACTTAACCAAGCTCAATACACTTTCTAAGTCAAAAAAGGGCCATAATTCTGTCAAAAACCTTGACAGAGTTATGTACTCTTGTCTGTAGATGGAGGTTATGATGGTGAACAAGTATGGTAAGTTTCAAAGCCATACTTGTAATACTTCTGAAATAAAGTGGGGTGGTACGAAAAACTTAACCAAGGTGTGACGCCAACGCCGACGCCGGGGCGAGTAGGATAGCTCCCCTTTTCATAGAAAAGTCGAGCTAATAAATGACCCAGAGTTTTTGTTCATCCCACACTATATACAATATATATCACAAAAATGTATCCAAACTTATTGCATCATGTCCGAATTTATCAAGTCTGTTGTTGTGGGGAAGTTGTTGACTTGTTGGAAAACATCTGAAACAAATATGTAGATTAGAAACATAACGTTCGTAATATTATATTAGTAACAAATATTAACTGTAAATTGTTTCATCTTATATAACCCAAGCTGTATGAAGTTGGTTATATAACCCAAGCTGTATGAAGTGGGTTATAGAGCAAACAACTTTTAACATATTGTACATGGCCATAAAACCTGTTAAACGATTTTTATAACAAATTTATAATACTCTGTAATTGCTTTCTTTGTTTAACATTTAAATAATTCATTTATTTGCAGAAGCCCTGTATATAGATAAGAAAAATATCTAAATAATTAAATTAAACAGTTTTAGTTTCTTATTATCCTGAAACTCTGAAGTGACCTTCACATGTAAGGATAATAGTAAAGTAGAAGACATACAATGTATCTTCTTGGTGAACTGAATACTTTTCAGTTAAATAAAAACCCAAACCCCTTCATGCATTTTTTATGAATATGCATGCAAAATCGTAGCTTAGACCATATATAAATACCAAAGCAATTCTAAGTAGGCTAGGCACACCTTTTCTCAAAAAGTCTAGCAAAAAATACTTTCCACAGATTTAAAGACTGTTAAAAATAACTTGTTCATTGAATCAGAAAAAAGACAAGCCTATGACAAACTCTCATATATGGTCAGTTTCAGAAACTTTCTAACAACATGTATTGGTATCTTGCGCAATACTTACTGATTTAAGAACTTGAGCACTAAGGAAATTCTTAGCAAGTGATGTCATATTCTGTTTGGTTCCCCATTTACATCTTATATAACCTAGAAGATTGGACCCATTCATGATCACTCCAATAACAGCCACCATCTATAAACACAAACATATTCTACTGTTTTCTGCCAAGCTGTAGTAAAATTGCTTATGACCTACATTTTTAACAAGGGAAATGTTTCACAAATGTCTGCTATAAATGTTGCAACAAAACATTTTTCATTTCCTGCAACATTAAAATAACTATTTCTGGCTTAAATACATGTACTATATGTAAATAAGTACACCACAGACATTATAACAATGTTTCTATTATGCATATTTAAATTAAAAACAAAAAAAAACATCAACCTCAAACATTTTGATTACTTTAGACAATATAAATATAATCTCATTAATACGTAATTAACCCTTCGGAATAATAAACCTATTTAGTATTACAAAACACGGCCCTTCATATGATATTAATTACGAGGAAATTAACCTATGTTCATTTTGTAAATATAAATTTCATTAGAAATTCCTCTCATACATTTGTATTTTACACACATAAATCAAACATATAAAACAACTGAATCATCATCAAGAAAATTTTCCAGAACAGAACAACATTCATCTGTTCAATATATGTACATGTACATTACATGAAAATTGAAACTGCCATTTCTTTTCTAAAGAAATAAGTTAGTTTGTTGTTGTATTTCTCTCAAAACTGTAGGAATTTAACCTGTTTTTATTTAAGAGCCATAATTTTAACACAAATCATGGTACAGGAAAATACCGATGCTATGCACAACTATTTTTTGAAGTTGGTGCAGATTATTCCTGTACAGTTTGCACAACTAGCTTTTGAGGAGCAGTCTAGACAAGTTTTATGATGGAAAAACAAATGAGAAATTATCCATATCAATGTGGCAGCTAATCTGTAGCAAGGGACACAAAATCCAGACAAACAAATATAACAAACCAAAACTTGGCAGTTGAAAAAGACCATTTAAGTTTTAATTTCTGCAGGTTAACTTTGTTTGTTTGATTGGGTTTCATGTCACACCGACACAGTATAGGTCATATGGCATCGTTCTAGCTTTACTGGTGGAGGAGACCTCAGGTGCCCTTCCGTGCATTTTTTCAGGCACGGACGGGCACCTGAGCAGAACCGACGTTCTGTAAGCTCACATGAAAGAATTAAAAGTCCCTGTAGAGATTCAAACCCACGGCAGTGAGGGGCATGTGGTTTGAAGTCAACAACCATAACAACTTTGCCACAGATGCCCAGGGTTAACAGTTAAACAAATAAAATCATACTTACAAGCCATTTGAATTTTAATGTAAATATTGTTCCAAATAAGAAGACTATCCATAAGATTTGGCACAGGACTAGAGACAACCAGAATATCCGAGATTCTGTGGCAGTTACAGTACCTTTTCTATTCTAAAATTTATAAAAGTTGCTTTGTTAACATAGAGTTATAGAAATAATGATTCACATTAAAAAATCTATAGAGTAATGTATAAAGCCTATAAAACTGGCAAAGTATACATGTAGTATAAAACTTTCTAACACTGTAAATTATCCTTTTTTTCATTTTCTTGATATCAGTCTGGAGTTTGAACAAAAAGTATATAATATGTTATATAGATGTAGCATTTGTAAATGAATTATATAGGAAAATGTAATAAAACATACTCTAACAAAATATTCATCTGTCACTTATGGTAAATATTGAAACATCTATCCACTTTTTTAAAACTTATTTGTCACCAGTGAACCATAACTCCACAAAACATGAGAGGACTATTAAAGGAATCCACCCACCAAATATGGAAGGTATCATTAAATAAATGAAATAATATACAATTAGGTGAATTTAAGATAAATCCAACTTGCAGGAATAGTACTTGAACTATAACCATTAAAGGCACTATTTTCAAAGTGATAAAAGGGAAATGCCTTGGAAAATAGATGGCACATTTATATAACTTGGCAATAACTTGTACTATGTACAAATTATGAAGCAATCAGTACTGATAGAACTTAGGATATATCCAACTTGCCGATTAAGGTTAACCATATCTATTTCCAAAGTGCTGAAAAGGATAATCACTTGAAAAAAATGGAAGCCATAGTAATGTAACTTGCCCAGATCATGTACTTTATATTGATTAGTCAGTGTGTAAATTATGAAGCCGTTGGTACAGGTTGAACCTAAAATAAAACCTGTTGGTTAAGGTCAACCTCGTACAGATAGACAGACTTGCAACCGAATTGAGATAAAAAAAAATTTAAATAATGGGCCATCTCTATTATTATTTTCTATTTTCTTTTGTTTAATTAATGGAGGGCCATTGGTCCTTCCTTTATTGTTAAAGAATGAACTATATTGTTCTCTTTTGTTACATTTAGATGACCCCCTACCCTTATTTGGTTGTGCAGACAGACAGATAGATGAACTGACAGACGTTTCAACTACTTTATGCCCTGTGGCATAAAAAAACAACAAAGAATGGAGGAGCCGAGCATCAAGATATTGAAAGAACACAATCTAAAACTTAAATCAAACTTGGCACATGAAAAATGTTACCTTCCAGAATATGTTTGAAGTCTGTATCAGTTAACTACTGTACTTAATCAAAACATTATAGTTAAAATTACATGATTGAATTTAAGTTACACTGACAGTGTAAAGGTCATATTACAACTTTCACGCCTTACTAGAAGGCAGACCTCAGGACTTGTCAATTTGTGCATTTTTCAGGTCTGGGATAGCACCCAATCAAGCTGGATACATTCCTAAAATGACAAAAACCCAATGGCAAGATTCATAACCAAAGCCATGAGAGGGGAATGTGACCTAAAGTAAACAGTTAATAATTTCTTGCATATCTGACAGGATTATCTACCGTTTACACTGGTGCTAGAAAACTATATCTTACACCCCCCATGTAAGACATGTCACATGCTTTAAATGACGTCATTGTCACGCACCTTTTATAAATGAATTGCGTTCATAGGATGACATCATTTTACCATTATGAATGATGTTGAAAGTTCATGCGCTACTATAAGAAAAGAATGAATAGTGAGAATATCAGTTTTCATAATTTCTGTTCTAAAAATAATTGACATGTAATATGCAAAAAAGAAGAATCAAACACCCGCTGTACAGACGGGAATATCTAGCTCTCGGGGTAACTGTTTAGCGGAAACTCGGCACAGCCTCGTTACCGCCGTAAACAGTTACCCTCCAGCTAGCTATTCCGGTCTGTACCGGCAGCCAGTGTAAGAGTCTTATAAACCTTAATCACTTGACCACATTAACAAGACCAACTGACATAATGTCTTACCTGAATAATTGCATTTCCTGGAAAAGTAAAGGCCTTTTAAATAAATATCCATATATTTTACTTACTTTACGAGATTCGAACATCCATTTACTATTGCCCTCTTCATCTACATAATTCCACCATCTTAGACCAACCAGTAATCGACCTAAAACATCAAAATTATCTTTCATATCACAGGAAAACAATATACTTAAAAATAAAATCATTAATTTAATTATCAGACAGAATTAGTTCTCCTGCAGGCTAGTAATCTCAGAATCTATGTTTTATCAAAGCAGGTCTCTTTAGGACAACCATACACTCATTCCTCTGTACCTGTTGATTCAAGGATCAGATTCAAGACTGTGTCTATAAAGTTATAGCTTATAGCTTCTTTCAGTAACGAGTTTAAAATATAATTCTGTATAAACTGGTAACATGATTGAAAAACAATTAGGTGTATAATATCATTAAGTGCAGCAATAAATTGTGGATATATAATTATTATTTACAGTCTAAGAACAACTTAAGCAGTATTCAGTTTTCAAAAGTAGTTTGATAAGGCGCCTGCAAACATTAAAACATCTGAGACAATGAAAAAATACAACATTCAGTCTTTTTTACTTTTAGCACTAGGCATACTTGAATGTACTTCAGAAAATAACTTTAAGTGCAATTCAAAAAGTGGAAGAATGTGAACTATTCAAAAAAGTTCTATACCCGAAATGTTTTTAACCGTCCAAAAGTCCATGGACAATAGAATAACAATAACAACAAAGTTGGTGATAAAACTGTCACTGAAACATCCACACAACAAATATGCAACTAGAGCTCCAATCCGGAAAAATAGGTGGAAAAACACTGCCACAGGATGTCTGTAAATGAAAAACAATAACGTGCTCAGTAAACACAAATTATTGAAATGAAAAATGTATTTTTTTTCATAATTAAAGGTTATCCCCATTAAATTGATTAATAAAGGACATAAAATAAATACATTAAATAGTACAGTATTTTGCTTTTCCTCTCCCTCTGGATTTTTCTTGTCCACGGATAAGCCCTATGGAAAATTCTACTTGTCCGCAGGCATTAAGTCCCTAGTTATAAAAGTCTGGCATGTAGGATTACCACACCCCTGTTACCTACATACCCATTGTTTTTTGGGTGAAGTAACCAGAAACAAACCCATTTTAGGCCTAATAAGGTATTTACATATTTAAATATTTTAAATTAACTTAACCGAATTTTACTTATTTTTTCATTTTTCAAATTACCATCTGTGAGTGCAACAAGTGGCTATATAAAATGAAATTTTAGACGAAAACTGATTAGGTCGAATACTTGTACACTATCTGTTTAAAACATCGATATTTTTTGTAATGTGTTTACTTTAAAATCCGATTCTTATCGAATTCCTCTTCACCAAAGTCAAGAACTACATCATCTTCGTTACTCATTTTCTATAAAGTTTTGTTATTATAATCTATCCCCTCTGAGAATCAAGCGATAAACTTTGAAAATTATTCGCAATTCACGAAGCTGCCATGTTGGAAACGGAAACGGAAGTAAACAAATTGGTTATTTTCGATTTGACGCACGTTTACAAACTTTCAGAACTGAAAGAAATTCAAATGGTTTTAATTAGGAAAATGTTTCGCAAAGGATGGATTGAGATCTATCAGCAAAACTATTAAAACTAACTGAATAATATCTCGGCTTTTTGAAAAGCGATCGAAATAGTTCACGACACTTTAATAGTGTTTAATTAATAATTAATTAAGGGCATAACGTTCAAGTTTCAAGGACGGCGCGGCAACAGGTTGACATAGTCATGTCATCGGGATGGATTAAAGTAGGCGGAGTTGCTCTGGCATGTGGACTTGTTTCAGAAGTTGTGTACTTCCTTTATAAACGATATCGTAAACGCGGTTGGCAGTATAAAGGTCAAAGCGAAAGTGAAAGTAGAAAAGAGATCGAAGAAGTTCTTTTCTTTCCGGACTCTCAGGTAGCTTGTAGGAATTATTTTGTTGGCGATCACGGTTGTGATAATAACAATTGTCGATTTACGCACATTCCAAACTCTCTTAGCCGGTTATATGAGTTCATTAATTCCGCGAAGAAATCAGTCGATGTCTGCGTATTTAGTATATGCTGTACTGAGCTGGCAGATTTGCTTATAGAACTGAACAAGAGAAACGTTACAGTCAGGGTTATTTGTGATGATGAACAGATTAATATTAGAGGATCTCAGATATGGAAACTCAGAAAAGAAGGTGGGTCTTTTATTACATGAGAATTTGCGAAACTGTTTAAATTAATTAGAAAAACGGCTAACCATATATATTTCGACTGCATGACCGACCGATCTAACAATCTGATATTACATTGATGTCTGCGAACAGCGGCCAAAGAAACAATTTGTTGGGCAAGTCATTAATATTTTTTCCATCTCTAAATCCTGGAGCAGTTAACTTGTGATTTTACCTTGCATAGAGTTCATACATATACATACTTAAACTATACATAAATTTATTTCAAATTAATGACAGGTGCCAGAAATTTTTTCAATTAATGACCATGCAACATGTCAAAATTACTAACAATGTCTGAACTATTTCTGTATAAAATGAATATTGATAATAATAATAGTAATAAGTGATATTGAGTGGTTAAAAGGTGTAGGCAAAAAGTACCTATAGTGAAATTCAGAATAATGGAAATATCATTACCAGAAAATCAGAAAAAGCCAATTATAATTCTTCCTTACATGTCTGATTTAGATAAAAAAAATAGCGTACTCTCTTGTTTTCTGAGTAGTTTTGGTAAAACGTGCAGTTTAAAAATAGTCACTTTGGGTGTTCAACTCCACACGCATTAAAATCAAAAATTTCTAAATAAATTGTTACTGTATATTTTTCAATTGCAGCACATATCATATATTCCAATAAAACTTAATTTGAGCTATCTTGAAAAAAATATGTTTCATCATCTATAAATGATGAAATAAGATTTTTCTTAAATAGCTTAAATTAAATTATGTATGATACATGTGTTTGTTGAGATTGACTTATAAATTATTTATTTGGATTTTAGGCGTTTAGATATCCATACTTCCAAATATCTGTGGTCTCAAAATCAATGCAAATATAATTATTCAGTAATGGAATATGTTGTTGTTGTTAATTACTTTTGAGGATAACAGCAAGACTTAGATTTGCCTTTTACAAAACAAACTACATGTATCTGTTCACTTAAAGCACCATTGCACGCGGTTTAAAATCTTATCTAATAGTCGTCTGGATGGGTCGAACTAGCACCTTTTTTGTTTATATGTTGTTTCTTATTCGACATCGTCGTTGTCGTCCTCGTATTTGGTTATATACATTGTAATGTGCAATTTATCCGCAAATTATATTAATATCATGATCGTCCACGAAGTATTTATAATATAGCTCGCAATGTTACATACTGAAGATTAATTTCTTTATTGTTTATTTATATATTTTTCCACCAGGAATAAACGTAAGAACAGACAACTCTTCCTACTTGATGCACCACAAGTTTCTGATTATTGACGATTCTCTCCTCCTGAATGGTTCATTCAACTGGACACGACAAGCTATCTCTGGGAACCAGGAAAATCTAATGGCACTTAATAATGCTCGTATTGTTTCTCTATATAAAGCCGAGTACAAGAAGTTGTGGGAAAAGTTTGATCCAAAGAATACATCTCCTTTATAACGAACAGATAATAATAAGTAGTAAATATTTAAAAGAACCTGGGTAGCTTGCAGAAACTAATCTCAGTAAAGCATATGAGATATTTAATTCATAGAAGTGAATCCGTCAAACGGCACATCAGGAAATCTAACTGAATGCTTTAAATTTATGTATTGCATTGCTTGTGAATTTACTGTCATTTAGGTTTGTCTAATACATGTACTATCATGTGCCTTTAAGAATTTCAATTTTAATTCTAGAAATTGAAGTTATTGTAAATGTAGTTTTCATTGTTGTTGAAGTCTTGTTAAAAAGTTTAAATTAGTAACTATCAGAGGTAGTAATACTTCTGCTTTGTTGTGTGAACCGGGTTGTAAAATACCATTTTTTGTAACAAATTTTTATTCCATGAACTAAGCAACATAAACTACTTTTATAATGTTGATGTTCACTTATTTATTGTGACCTTGCGATGAGTAATGACATGTCACCGATGTGTATATCTTCGTTTATATTATATCAAATGTAGGCTATAGACAGACTTTGAAATTGCTCGATTTTTTCCCGGCGATGTTGCTTTGATTAATTATTCTGAATTATTTTGTTTTAAGGGAACTGAAATGCTCACTGTTGTTTGTGTAGAGCAATTTCTGGATCCATAACAACAATATATTTCAACTTGTATTTTGTGTAGTAACCCTTCATAATAATTTTTTTAAAGGCAATTTAATATGATTGTTATCATAAATATACCACGCATTATCATTAAACGGTAAATGTTTAATATAACTTTATATAATATATACATGCATTTTCTGTGATATGCGTCAGCTGACTCGGCCAGTGTTTTACATTGTTTTGCGGCCAGCTAGTGTTTCATCATAATTACGAAACATTCGACAGAAAGGAGTGTAGTATAAAAACAAGGACGTTCGGAACACTGTACCATTTCTAATAATGATGATAACAATAAATATATTAATAACATTTTTAATTTAAGAAGGTTACTCATGAAAAGAGCAACTTACAAAATACAAATAACATATTTTGAATGTGGCATTCTGAACAAAATTAAAAAGATAACAACAATAACCATTACAAGGAGTCAATACATAATTTGACTGACTCATGGTTCAGTCTGATTTGATAAGAACTCGATATAACGATATACATGTAGCTACTTGAAGTTAATGTAATAATGTGAACTGGTCTGCGAGATATGTTTGTTATATTTATATAAAAGAGGTCAGAGAATAAGTGGAACCGATATCAAATAGTATTAAATTCCAAACATTGGTACCATTGTAACAAAAAAGTCTTTTTAACCCATTTTTATATGCCCGAAAGAATTTCGGGCATATTATGTTATACCCCCTGGCGTCCGTCCGTCTGTCTGTTTGTCTGTCTGTCTGTCCGTCCGTCCGCACTCACAGGAGAGTAATTATGTGGCTAGAGGGACAATAGGTAACTGTTCTTTCTCTTTGATGTCATTCATTCCGTAATGCTTTTATGTGGCTATTTTCTTTTGTGTGGCTAAAAAGAACAATAGAGAGAACAATAGAGTAGCCACATAATTACTCTCCTGTTAGAACATCCGTCCGTCCGTCCGTCCGTTAGCAATTTGGTTTCCGGAGCATAACTTAAGTTCCATTTGGCCCACAATATTCAAACTTCATAGGATGATTGTCCATATTGGGTAGAAGACCCCTATTGATTTTGGGGTCACAAGGTCAAAGGTCAAGGTCACTATCACCTTAAAACTGAAAACAGATTCCGGAGCATAACTTAAGTTCCATTTGGCCCACAGTGTTCAAACTTCATAGGATGATTGTCCATATTGGGTAGAAGACCCCTTTTGATTTTGGGGTCACAAGGTCAAAGGTCAAGGTCACTATTACCTTAAACCTGAAAACAGTTTCCGGAGCATAACTTAAGTTCCATGTGGCACACAGTGTTCAAACTTCATGTGATGATTGTCCATATTGGGTTGGAGACCCCTATTGATTTTGGGGTCACACGGTCAAAGGTCAAGGTGACTATCACCTTAAAACTGAAAACAGTTTCCGGAGCATAACTTAAGTTCCATTTGGCCCACAGTGTTCAAACTTCATAGGATGATTGTCCATATTGGGTAGAAGACCACTATTGATTTTTGGGTCACAAGGTCAAAGGTCAAGGTCACTATTACTTTAAAACTGAAAACAGTTTCCGAAGCAAAACTTAAGATCTATTTGGCCCACAATATTCAAACTTCATAGGATGATTGTCCATATTGGGTAGAATACCCCTATTGATTTTGGGGTCACAAGGTCATAGGTCAAGGTCACTTTTACTTTAAAACTGAAAATAGTTTCTGGAGCATAACTTAATTTCTATTTGGCCCACAATATTCAAACTTTATAGGAGGATTGCTGTTGGAAGGAGGTAATGCTTTATTTAATTTATGTAATGTCTTACAAATGCTTCATCCTTAATATAAAAAAACACTTTCGGGCATATAATGCTCCGCCTAGCGGTGCTCTTGTTTGGAAGTGTGCGACACCATCCTCTTTTATTCTTTTATTTCTTTCATAGATCATTTCGTTTGAGTATAGTAACAATAATTTATAAATTCTAAAATATTCAACCCAAGTGGAAGGAGTGCAAAGGTAATTCAGTATATCGACCTACTGAAATTATACTTAATCATCGATCCTTCACTCTCTTCACCTACATTCAACCCTTCTAGAACAAACGGCTTTTTGTCATTTCCTACAAACCTTTTTGCTACTGTACTTATTGTGAATCATCATCAATGATGTACTTAACTACACGAAGCCATACTAACTTACCATAATAGTTAAAGGCTGTCAATCTAAAGTCATCAACATATCGTTATGTGTGCAAGATAACAATTATTCAACACCTTCTAAAATATTACCAATGCGCTTTCAGCAAGAGTCCATCCGGCCTCTTTGTCAACATTGAATGCGAGCACTCAATTGGCACGCCAACTATCGCGCCATTAAAGGTTAATTATGTTCAAGCCAGAACATCTGCAATTTCTGTCAAGTAGCCTGTCTGTAGTCCTTAATTTAAATAGGGACGCAGTTCAGAGCCAAAAGGGTACATGAAGTCTTCCTCCATCTGGAAAATGACCTATACAGTACTGTGTTGGTGAGATTTAAAACCCAACCAAAGCAAACTAAAAACCGGACTCGTACACAGCTTCAAAACCTATAACAGACTCGGTTAGCGGCGGTTAGCTCTACCTCAAATCGTAGTGCCTAGCAAAAGAAAGATTGATACCGCTTTAATTAATATGAATTAGCTATATATGAAAGGACTATTTTGAGTAAAATCGTTCTTAGAAGAACAAATGACGCTGTTCCTTTAGCGGAGGTAATGACGATCAGTCAATGTCTAAGATCCACCCGAATATAGTCCTCTTTATATTTTAATACCCAAGTCACTTATTTTCTACATAATATAACCGCTACGTGTCTATTTTTGTGTCGCCTTTACGGAGTATATGCGACATATAGGGATCACTTCTCCGTCGTCTGTCTGTCTGTCCGTCCGTCACAAAACTTGTCCGGACTACTCATAAACTACTGGTGCAATTTCATCCAAACTTTGCAGGAATTATCAGTACCAAGTCTAGTTGTGCATATTGTTAGCATTTTCAGGTTCAATGATTTTTGTAAGAGTTGTGGCCCTTTAATATTTTTTATTTTTAAAGTTTGTCCGGACTACTTCTGTTATACCACTAATGCAATTTCAATGAAACTTTACAGGATTGATCTGTAGCTCAAGTTCTTGCGCATATTGCACGGGTTTTCCGGTTGAATGATTTTTGGCCGAGTTATGGCCCTTTGATTAAAAGGTGTTTTTTCTTTGTGTTGCCAGATACACAAAAGCTTGTCCGGACTACTCCTCATAAACTACTGGTGCAATTTTATCCAAACTTTACAGGAATGATCAGTACCAAGTCTAGTTGTGCACTGTCTGTCTGTCCGTCTGTCACAAAACTTGTCCCCACTACTCCTCATAAACTTCTGGGGCAATTTCATCCTAACATTACAGGAATTTATGTCGCCACTACTCCGATCACTTCTCCGTCTGTCACAAAACTTGTCCCAACATGAAACTGGCCATCATGAGGCGACACATGTGATCACTGATCGCTCTTGCTATATTATAATAACAACAGCAACAAAAAATAAGAATTGAAAAACTTCTTTATCGCAACTTTGAAAGAATAGAAATATCAGTATATTGCACAGGTGCTAGTCGCATTGATTTGACCTGAAAGAATCTTGTTTTTCATGCAAAATAATATTTAAAAAAAATCTGATTTTTGTGATATTGTTATAGACTATATAACAAAAGATCTGGATTTTATTATTTCGTGTTGAATTATTGAACATTATTGCATGCCAATGCATTGTATTTGTCAATATTTATATATTTTCGAGTCATGAGATGATTAATGTTTTAGACTGTCTGATAAGATTTACTACCTTTAATGTGTAATGATGAACAGTCTCATATTTATTTATTATTCCCCTTAACTAAAGTGTGTGTCTCATTATGACACGGAAATGCCTACTATGTCGTGAAGAGGTCCACTATATTCCATTAAAATAAAAACAACACATTCTCTATACAATTAAATCATTCATGCTTACGTCACCATTCATCACGTTAAATGTCTTATGTGCCAGTTACATTTTAGTTGGATTTTAAATACACGATTCTAAAAACGTTATGGATTTTTTAGGATTATTAATATATTTTTTAACAAGTTTAATAATCATTGATAACACTTCTGCAATATATACGGTAAGGTTTTTTGTTTAAAAAAAGATGCTAGTCTTAGAGGAATGAACAATCTCACTAAATTTGTAATTTTAAATGTATTTTTTTCAAAACAATAACTCTATTATTATCATAAGGCTACATTTGTTTCATGATATATGAATTTATAAATACATTTCATTTTCTGGTTCATTTTTTTCCTCTAAAGATATGATTTTACATAATTATTATGTCAGAATTTAAATTAAATCATGTATACATATATACACAGCTGATTAATTTTAAGGTCACCTAGTTAATTCATCATTTGTTTAACAATGATGTGTTTATATGTAAATGAGTATACATCTTGTGTATATCACATCGTGCATTCATATCGTGGTAATAATTACATAAATATGCATGGTATCAATATATTTAAAACATTTTTTTTGAAATCGTAAAGATATAATCAAGTTGTACGGGTCATAAACCGACTAGCCTTTTGAATATGTACGGAACAATGTTTTGGTATTTGAGACTGTCTGACTGTCCGTGAGGAATGTTGATATAAGTCAGGTTTTTTTCATTCAATTTAACATGGTTATCAACAATATCATCACATTATAATAACATAGTTTGTCATTTTAAAAAAAACATATATATACATTTGGCATGCCTAACTATATTTAAAAAAAAAATAAGAAAAACACGGAAAAAACCCCCACACACAAA